TTGCTGAGGCTGGCTTTGAACTCGAGATCCTCCTGCCTCAGTCTCCTGAGTCATTGTGATTACAGGTGTGAACCACTGTGCCTGGCTTTAATGTATTTTTAACATTTTCAATGTCCAAGTACTGCTTTAGATGTAATTTACAAAATTTTAAATGCTGAATTTCACTAGATTCTGTGTCTATTTTATTTCCCCTTAAAATTCCTTGATCCATAGATTATTTAGAAGTATGCTTATTTTTCAAGATTTTGGAGATTTTTCTTTCATCTTACTGTTACTGTCTGAGTCCTTTGTAGTGAAAAGGTGACACCAAGTATAATTTCAATTATTTTAATTTTTATAGCTTTGCTTTTTGGCATGGGATATTGTTTATATTAATTTATGTGCTTTATGCATATTAAAAGAATCAGTATTCTGTTGTTGGGTTAAGTATACTATAAATATCTCTTATATGCTTTTCTTAGAAGGTGTTAAGTTCTCCTATATCTTTGCTGTTTTCTGCCTAGTTGTACTATGAATTGTTAATTCATAAAATCTAATGCTTTAATCCATCTCTTCTTCCCTCTCGTGTCACCCAACAAAATGAATTTTTGATAGATGGACAGACAGATCACAATAATATAAAACTTATCCATAACCAATAGGAGTATAAAATTGGATCATAGTTACTAATGTGATAGTAGCCTCATGGCCTACACTGTCTGTGCCTCTCTTGATTGCCACACTCTTGGATGTACTTACATGGATTCCTTCACAGTTCTTGCCGTGGATGACTTACCAGGATGGACTCTGGTTTCTTACTAGAATTTCTGGTATTCACTTGTTCCTCCATCTGATCATCACCTGTTGATCTAGGATGATATACTTTTCTTTCCCTAACAGCAATGCCCCGCAAATGGCCTAACTGCTGTAGTTTTCTGGTGGCATCCATGGAAAAAGGGGGATAGGGTTAAAACACTAGGTTCTGGTTTTGCTTGTTGATCCTTTTGTTGGATTGACATATTCTTAAGTCATAAAGAAAACCTGTTGTTCTTGCACACTGCACACTAAGCCTCCTTCCTCCAGTCCTAATGCATCTCTGTAAATTTTATAAATATTACCCTTCCAAAAAAAAAATCACAAACATCATTTCTAGGCCTAAGGAGATAGAGCTCATTGGTAGAGTGCTTCCCTAGCATGCAGGTGACCCTGGGTTCAATCCTTGTACCACACTAGTAAATGCACAGATGCAAGTAGGGGATAATTGTGACAAAGTTACAAGTTTCAGCTATAGAAAGAAATTAATCAATTTTGTGACTGAAGAGTAGAAAATAAAAACCTTATATAGTTGGGAGTCAAAAGTTATACCTAAAACCCTGGGAGGTACATCAGAGTGGGCATCAGTTATCTTTGTCTTTCAGTATTACTCCTCTTCATCAAGAAAAATACCCTGGTTTAATTCTAATATTTTTCATGCACCTTAACTTAAATTAACAATACGTTTTCCATCCTCTATGATGCAATTCTATTCATGATTTATTCAACATTCACAGAAACTTTCCCAAGAAATCTTCCAGAAAAATGAAGTGATTGTTCTAGTTTCTGGACCTCAACTCAACATGCCTGTCAGGCGCTCTGTGTCATTGTATGGGGCAAACACATATGAACTAGCTCAATATGTGCACAGACAGGACAGGTTGCACAATTCTTCTAAAAATCAGGACTAAATTCAGTTATTAAAAGTGAACTGGGAACCTTATGAACTTCCAAATTTCCAGAAGGCTATGTTGGCCTGTGCCTCTTATTGTTTGGTTGTCACTTTGGGAGTTCACAAAATTGTGA